AGCCAAGAGATGCACACTACACACCACCCACCGCTCTGCCGCGCTTTGTATTATGCTATGCTGGGTGGGTCCTACTCGCCGCGCGCTCGGCGCTCGGGGAATACTTGCGCGGATTGGCGGATCTTTATTAATTATTTTCTAATTAATTATTGAAAATTTCGCAAAGTGGTAAAGGACTTACTTATTCAGTTTGACCCGCTCTATCTGTACACGACGGTTGGGCCGCGAACTTTGGGACACCCTGTATAAATTTATAAAATATTAATGGAGAACATCATTTAACAGTTCTCCCGCATTATCGTTCCTGAATCTTAATGGAAGAAACAAATTACTTTAATTATATAGGAATTATATAAGATATAAAATATATATGTATATCTTATAAGGTAGATTCTTGTTTCATGGTACGATATTCCTAATTCGGTTTCTAAATGTTTCCTAAATTTAGAGGATCGCGAACGATAAGAAATAATTCAACAAATCAACGAAACTAGGTAAAATATATCTTAGCCTGAGACAAGATCTTGCTGTCGAGTTAATACAAACATTGAGAAAATGATGCCGTGTGCTTCGCATAGAAGTTCTCTCGATAGAAAGCACAGTAAGCTCGCGAACAAAGCTTCGCGATGCACAATAGAAGCACGACTAGATTTCTAGATGGATTTATATTAGAAAGAAGAAATCAGGTTTGCCGGTCGCAGTGACTAAGATTTAATCATTTTCGAACGTTTCGATACAGCATCTCGTGACGAATACGAAATTCGTGGGACAATGATTCATCCGTGATCAATTGTGTGCGAACATCGCTCTATGAACATTACACGCGCTATCTCGATTGTTCGTCGCTAATACGTTACCAAAGTATTATCTGATGTGCATTTTGGAGACGTGTGATCTCTGCGCTGTATACCGCAATATATTTTCTATTTCTCCCTCTCAGTACAATAATACTTTTATAACTCAGGTGTCATCGGGCAATTGTGACCGAGAAAGAATAAGGGCAAAAAAAACAAGACGTTTATCTATGAGATTCCGTAATCATATAGCAAGTATCGTAAAGGTACTCCAATTTTGTAGCAAATTGAACCATGTTCAATCAGGTACTATTATCAACAAGTGTTCTTGGCGGAGTAAATAGAGTAAATATTGTTGTCAAAAATGTGATCAATAAAGCTTTAGCATGAGCTCTGTTTTCAAACGCGATACAACTTACTGTACATTCAATAGATTTCTTTTTTACTGTTGGGGAGATTGTAATGGGTATGCAGTTTAGATGAATGGTTCCTTTCTAATGTGTACTTTGTAAGATTGTATTATATATATACAGAAGACCATCTCTGTAATAATCAATACCTTCAGGTATACGCAGATCTGGTCATTGATGGTCCTGTCGTATCGTTAGTAATGTAACTGAATGTAACTAAAACGAGACCAGTTCTTTCACAATGACTGATCACTGAGGACACGGTAATTGACAATATGTTATATATTGTGGCAAGTGTTACAGCGTTATTTATTTTAAATGTACAATAGCAATAAAACAATATAAATCGATTTTCATTTTCATGAATCTGTACACTCATAAACGTTTCTGCGAGATTAGAATGTCGATCTTTAAAATGAAACATAATCTAGGCTCAAGTACACAATTAATTATTAATTAATCGTTTAAAATAATTCACAATGTATCTGTTTCTTTCGTGATTATAATTTTCAACAAAACAAGCATTTTTTTATATTTGTCATTTTATTATCGCGCTGATGGGCGACACAATTATAAATCAATTATTGGGTTGATTCATAAATAAATGTCGTTACAAGCAAGTAAGGAGTTTATTATGAATAAATGGCACTTATTTATTAATCAACCCAATATATCACTTGACGTTGATCGTACGCGTTATGCTTTCCTGGATTATTTAATTTTTGACGATAATTAGTCAAGAATAATTCAGAGAAAATTAGTATGAATCTATACGAATCGTAAAGAGAGGTTACGTATTTGCTTAAATATGTTCGGAAATTGTTCAACAAGTCGCCCGAGAAATAACTCGCTCTCTCTCTCTTATTGAGTTAGGGTATATTCAAATAAACTTACATATGTTTATGCGTTATGGTAAATTTGTCTGGATATACCTTAACAACCATCTTGAGAACATACCGTGAATTGAAAACTGCCTGTGCGCTACTCAATGACGTCATTACACTCACCAACACCCACCACACTCTCACCATAATGGTGGCCGGTGAACACATATAACACAGTCGACGTATATACATCAAATAATCAAATAATGTAGCTCGATATTCGTGTCATTTTCTGTCTTATCTTACGAGAATCTAAAGCAAAAATAGAAAGCATGATTCCAGTTTCATTATGCATGATTCCAGTTTCATTATGTTTCCCGTATTAAATTGTCTTGACATAATCCGAATTCTCCGAATTTGCGCTTTTCCCGTCACTAGTCTCGAGTCCACGTAAACATCGCATTCCGTGTGTTCTTCATTCACATTCAGTCGCTGTGGACTGAGTACGTGCTTATCGCGCTTATCACACTACCCGCAGTTTCCGACATCTCTGCGTCACAATGTTCAAGAAATTCAAGGACAAACTCGCGGAGGAGATGAAGCAGTCCCCTGCCAGGTTACAAGCAAGTGTGCAGCAACTGGCGCAGGTTTCGTTTCGCATATTTTTCGACAAGTTCAATGTGATTACAGATGACGATCATCAATTTTTTTGTTACATTTAGGCTGTGGTGTCGCCAGCCCTGTCCAACAGCTCTATTCAGGAAGTGTCGTCGAATGATAATTTCAGTTTGACAGAAGATGGAGATGGTAAGCATGCTTGATTGCTTATTTTGACAAGGTATTGAGAATTTAGAGGTTTTGAATCTACAGAGTGAGTCAAACGAAAAACAGAATACATTCTCTCGAGTTTGAAAACAGAAAGAGTCATATATTCAAGCATTCTATTTTCTGATGACATATCAAGTATATGATATTTTGAAAAAGTACGAGTTGAGATATATGTATATTTCATTTGCAGAAACACCAAAGAATACTCCAGCAAAGCATAGTTTCCAGAATGTGGACCTGATATCACCATCTTCAAACTGTATGCAGATCTCGAGAAGATCTTCAGTTAGTAGCGTTACTAGTGATGCATCTTCACTATTTCCAATGTATGAAAGTCCTCCAAACTTGTATCATTTACAGGTTTGTAATTTTATTTTTTCAAATCTATCAACATTTTAAAAATTGTCTGATAATGTTGAAAGTTTTATTTTTACAGTCAGATATGGATCAATCGGCTAGCGAAGTTGACGATAATATTAGTCCTCATCTAGATAGAATTACCAAGGATCAATTATATTCCGCATACCAAAAGATACAAGCAAAATATCATAAATATCGCGGTAGATATACTGATCTAGCTGCACACTATCGTGAACTGGACAGAGTGAAAAGCAGACTGGAATCTGTATTGGTTGAAACACAAGATAAAGTTCTAAGAAGAATAAATGATCTAAAAGAACAATGTCAGTTGGAACAACAAGCAAAAGCACATTTGGAGGAAGCGTTGAGAAATGACATAGAAGAAAAAGACCACATAATTAATACGTTAAATACAAAAGTAAAATTATTACAAGCAAGTGGACCAACATTAGAGAATTCAGTATCGGAAGAGTCTGAACAAAAGGAAAGTTTGAAAGCCAATCTAATTGATCTGACGAATGAATCATCCAACATCGAGAACAGTGCGCTGTCAGCAGAAAATATTCAGTTGAAGGATAAATTGAAAAAACTGGAAAGCCTCGTTTTGAAGTACAAAGAGTCGTTAAAGCGTAACAAGGAGAAGTTTACAGAAGTGATGAAGGAGAAGAATGGTTTAGAGAATGATTATGAGGCTCTGAAAAATTCCACTGCTGAAAAGATAGGTATGATGGAAGGTGAATTAAGCACGGCGCGAATGGAGATTGGGAAACTGACAGAACAAGTAGATATTTTGCAAAAACGCGAAGAAGAATCGGCAATTTCGTTGGCCGAAAATAAACTTTCGGTGCACAGAGAACTCGAAGAGAAGGAAGAACAAATCAAGCAGCTTCGAATTGATCTGAAACAAACGACGGAAAATGCGGAACATTTAAACGAAGTAATAGCGAGATATAAAGTCGAAATGGATAAATTGAAATCTTTGCATGCTGAGACAAATTTAGCTGCAGATAAGGATACAAAAGTGCACGATGATACGTTGAAGGAAAGATGGAAGCAGCGAAGGCACAGGCGGGAATAAAACATGAACAAGTCGATCACGGTAAAGAGGTAAGATTAGGAAAGGACGAGAACGCGCTGGAAGAAGTGATGCATCGTTTAAAGGAAAAGGAGATTGAATTCCAAGAATTGCAACATAAATTAGACGAACTAGAACAACGAAACGTGGAATATAAACACGATAAGAAAACATTGGTCGATGAGCTGTCGGCGTACAAAGTCACATGTTCGGAGATAAAGAGCGAGTACGATGCGCAAAGGATTATTGCTGTAGAGAAACAGAAAGATGCCGACGCGACAATAGAGAAACTTCAAGCCACAGTACAAAGCATCGATAAAGAATTGGAGAATATGAGAAGAGCTTTGATCGACAGAGATCAGGTATGCGAGAATTACAACAAGAAAATGCAGCACGACGCAGGCATGCTCGAAAAGGCTAAGTATAAATTGTCCGAGCAGGAGACACAGATAAAGTCTCTTAAAGACAAATTAGAAGATAAAACAGAGCTTTTTAAAATACAAGAAGAATTAGAGAACAAGAAAACAGAATTAAATGCAGTGAAAAGTGAACTTGAACTTTGCAAGTCCACAATCGACGATCTGACAAACAAACTCCAAGTAGACAGTTCAGCTATAAATTTGTTGAAGAAAGAGAGGAGCGACTTAATAAATCGTCTTGTCTATTACAATGATTATGTACAATGTTTAAAGCAGGACTGTGTGGATGTTAAAAGCATTGTGAAGAAAGAATTCTCGAGTCAAAAGGCCAGAATATCGCATCTGAATACAATTTTCACTACATCTCTCGTGAAGCTCGAAGAAGAAAACTCACTGCTGATGTCTAAGGCGGATGAATTACGTTCGAAAATAAAAGATTCGGAACAATTTACATTTAAAGAAGCAGAATTGCAATCGGAATTAGTTAAAATGACAAATCTTAAATCTAGCTTGGAAGCGGAATTGAAAAAGAGTGACGAACGATTGAAAGAAATGTCACTGAAGAATGAGCGATACGACGAGCTTAATATTACGAATAACAAATTAATAGCCGAAATTGATAATCTTCATTTTAAAGTTCACGATGCGGATAAGATTTCTCATAAATTGATGCAGTCACAACAACAAGTTGAGGCCTTGCAAGAGCGGCTGAGAGCGTTAGAGAACCTTGAATCTGTAAACCACGCGTTATCCATCGAGATTGATGATTTAAGAGAAAAGTATGCACAGGCCAATTGTGCCTTCGAGGAAATTGATGAATTAAAAGCGGAATTACGCGAGACGACTGATATTATTAATGTACTGAAATTAGAGAGCAGCCATCAGGACACGCTTCGAGAGGAACTGTATATTTCGAAATTGGAAATTGCTCGCTTGAAGGACGAATTGACTGAAAAGGAAAGTGAAATCAAGATATGCGAGAAAAAACTGGCGGAGGAGGAAGAGCATATCGCGCATTTAAAATCTACATGCGACAGTCATATACAAACGATCGAGGAACATGTTCAGAAATATCTAAATTTGGAGGCGGAGTATCAAACAACGAGAGAAGCTCACGCGAAAGAAAATGTTGAGTTGATGGAGAATAATAAAGTGTTGCAGGAAACGATAAATGTGAAGCTTGTACAATTAAAGAAGATGAAAATCGTCAAAGAACGGCAGGGCAAAACGATCGAAGAAATGAATTCGGAACTCGACGAATTGAAGACCAAGCATGCAGACTTATCTAACACATTGGAAACTTCGAAGAAGCAAATGGAATCGTTGAAATTAGAAAATTCTCAGCTGGCGACGATTATCCTGGAGAACAAAGATCTAAAAGATAAGTGTAACGATCTTTTGAGTCGTAATGAAAAGCTTTGCGAAAATGAGGGAATTTTGAAGCAGAAAATTAAAATCCACGAGAAGGATATCGAAGAATTGCGGAAGACAGTGAGAAATTGCACTGAATCGTGCAAATCTCAACTGAATAGTCAGAACGAGGAGACGGAACGATTAAACAACGAATTGACGATTATTAATACGCAACTCGAATGTAAAGACAAGGAATTAAATTCGTTAAATGAGAGACTGGTGATGAGCGAAAGAGAATTGCAAGAAATTAGAGAGAAATTTAACAAACAGGATATCGAATTGCAGGATAAAGTTTCCAAATTAAGCGCAGCTATAACAAATGGCAACAGCATGAAAGAAGAGAACGCGCAGCTTTTCACCGAATTGGTAACGCTGAGGGATCAAATTAAAATATTCAAAGATTTAAAAGACGAGAATGCGCAATTGAAATTAGATTTAACACAAAAAAATTGTGATGTAGAGACAATGCGTTCGGAATATAATCAATTAATTGCCGAACAGACAATTCTGAAAGACAGAATTATTGAATTAGAACATATAAATTCGAGCAACATGGAGCTAAAAGTTTATGTAAATAATCTACAATCTAAAATATCTAGCTTAGAGACTTTACGATTAGAAAACGACAGGTTGCAGTCGGAAGTGGAGGCTTTACAATCCGCGAATAGTTTATCGACGGAATTGGGCTCCTTAAAAGATTTATTAACGGTAAAAGATGCAGAGATAAAATTATTGGAAGATAAAAATTCCAATATGTCACAAGAAATAGGGAATTTGCGACGCTTTTCGTCAGAAGTCGATGAAAGAAGAAAAGAAGCAGATACGCTGAGAAATTTATTGGCGAAATCAGAAGAAAAAATTGCTGGCCTACAGACGGAGATTAATTCTCTTCTTCAGACAAACGATGCGTTGCGAAACGAGTTAAAAGCTGTCCGCAATGATGAAGATATCGAGCTTCATAGTGACAAGTTACGGGAAAAGAATAAGAGATTAGAAGCGCAACTCGATGAGACATTGATAACATTTCAAGCGAAAGAGACGCAGATGCAGCTAGCAAGTGGTGAACTGAAAGCGCAAGCTAACCAATTGAGAGAACAGTTGAAAATCAGCGAGGAGGAGCAAGGAATGAGATTGAAGCAACTGGTCAAGGAGTTCCAGGCTCAACTGCATGACAAGGAAGAGGAATTGCAAGCCGCGTTGGAGAAACGTTTTGGTAAAGTACTAAATTTGAAATGTTTTGAAGAAAAAAAAATATTTTCTCTGATATATTATGAAATATAGCTTTGGAATATTCTGACGTATAATATAATAATCAATATTTTATCTTTATGTAGATCGCCAGCATAATTACGAATCAAATCTCGTACAACAATATAAAGAACAACTGAAAGATTGTCATATTGAACTTACAGAGAAGTCTGAGCAGCTTGAGAGTCTTGTTTTGGAGAAAAAAGATGCAGTAGCCGAGAAAGGAAAGGATATTGATCGTTTGGTAGAAACAATTGCACAGATTAAACAAGAACACACAAATGAGATGAAAGAATTGGAAAAGAAGTGGAAAGCTGTAATACAACAAAGAATCGACAATCTGCAAGCTAAACACGAAGAGGAAATAACCGAGCTAACAAAGGAATGGCAAAATGAACGGAAGGTAAATTTGCCCAGCCGGATCGAGTTTAATTTGTTTCAGCGCATTTCTACTCGATTGTATATAACTTTTCAAACAATTATTTGTTCACGCACATTATGTATATATTTTTAAAATTTCATTTTTTTATTTGCGTTGACGTATTTGCATTATTTTCAGCTTGATGCACAAACTGAAGCAGCTTCTGAGGTAAAGATTATTTCTTTTCTTTTTTTTCTCTTTTTTCTTTACCTTCTTTTTTCTAACTTTCTTTTTTCAAGCTAGAACATTACTCCATACATACTTTTTTCCTGTTATATTCCTTTTATAGCACAATTGTTTCATTAAACGCGCAATTGAGAAAACTTGGAATAACTTAAAATTTTAGGATTTAGAGAGTACTTCGCGCGTGGCGATGGCCGCGATACAAACAAGCACTGGTTCGATTCACACTTTACAACAGACCCTGACCTCTCAGAGACGTGAACTCGCAGAGCTTAGAAAACTGGTAAAATTGCGGCAAGATACATTGGACGATTCAACAGAGATCGAATATCTCAGAAACATTCTTTTCGAATATATGATGGGACGAGAAACCATGGTACTCGCCAGAGTGATCGCTGCTGTTGTCAAGTTCGATCAAGAACAAACTACAAAAATACTTAAGAAGGAGGAAGACAAGTTGACTCTGGTAAGCACAACTATGCGAAGCGCAAAAATAATATATATATCTAACGTTATGAATTTTTATTTTCAGTTTGGCTCGCTAGGTCTTACATAGTCCTAGATGTATAACTCTCATGTATAAAGGGGTGCACAAATTCTATAGACAATTAATACGGTTAACGCGACGCATCTTTAGTATAATGTAAAAAGAGGAAAGCAAGAATTGTACAAAGTAGCAACAAGATAATAAATATACTTACAGATTTTTATAAATATTAATTTAACAAAATGTTATTGTGTAATAAGGCTTATATAATATTATACAAATACAGATAATTTATAAAATGTATTATTTGTTATTCATTGTAGGGAAGACAATCGTATGTTCCGAACATATGTTAAAAATCGTACTTATATTTTTATATTTCGTAATTATATAATTATTTATCCAATGTAAATACATATTGTAAATTACCTAAATGCAAGATAATGAATGTTGTAAAGATATATGTTGAAAGATTATTTGATTTATTTACTTTTTTCTTTCAGAGAATTGAACGAAAGTTTTTATGATCTGTTGCTATCTTTTCATGTTTAATAGCTCATTAAATAGAGTGCATAAGGTATACCAAAATCAAATTTGTATAATCATATAATGTATATGCATAAGAAAATCTATTAATCTTATATGTCTAATGCAAATTTAAATTAAATATGTGATCGATATTTTATGATCGATTTTTATGCGTATGCGCAAGCTTACAGTGATCTTTCTAGCAACGCTGTCCGGCAGCGGCTGCCATAGTCACGTGGCACGTGCTCTAGCATGTAGATGTAGGCTGAAGCGTGCTCTGTAGTGCATTGCATCTCTGAACAGCGTGAGTGGTACGTTAGAAACGAATACAGTTTTATGGTTTTTTTTAAATAACTACGTATTCCACGACTAAAAAAATGTCTGTACCTGAAAAAGTGCTAATGCGAAAAATAAAGAAACGCGAGAAAACCAAATTAACGGTACTTAAACAGCGGGAAGAACAGAGAGGTAAGAGCATGGGTAACTTTGAGGTTAAGTCGAGATGGAAAAAGGATATATATAAAAATTTATTAACTTATTACGAACTTATCTTTAAGATGCATATATTTTTGATAATTAGGTTGATAATTATATGTTTTTGTTATCAATTTTAAAGAACATTTATTTTTATTACAGAAATGAATTCGGAGAATACAAATCAACATGTGGAAGACATTCCTTCAAAAAGTTCGTATAACTTAATAATAGTTCACATCTTTATCTAGTTCATATAATTATATTAATATGTATATGTCTATTTTATACTTGTTTTAATGAGAAACGAATAATACTCTAACATTTATTATCAGTATTTTATAATTATATAATTTTGTATAATTTTATTGTATAATTACTAATATTTTTCTTTATGTGTTTCTTTTTTTTAGAAAAGAAAAAGGAGACTGTTCCTGAAAATTGTATGTCAATTGCAATCATGTCAATAATTAAATAATATTGGAAAAATGTTTAATATATTGATGTATATTTTTATATTGATATATATTTTTGTTTTAGTACCTGGCACAGATGTGGGTTTTGAAGTGACAAACAATACAAGTTTTTCTGTATTAAGTGAAAAAGTATGTGAGAACACATTACAGGCAATAAAGGATATGGGTTTCACAAATATGACAGAAATACAAGCAAAAGCTATTCCACCTCTTCTAGAAGGAAGAGATTTAGTTGGTGCTGCTAAAACTGGATCTGGCAAGACTCTAGCATTTTTAATTCCAGCTATTGAACTGATTTACAAATTGAAGTTTATGCCACGTAATGGTATGTAAATTTTACAATTTAACTGTACTCAATATTAATATAATTTTGAGAGATTTTTTTTATTCACGGATGATTTTGATGAATCTATTTTTATGTGAAGTAACAAAGAAGAAGATAATTCTCAAACAAATATAATAATTTTTGTGTAATACATTTCATATGTAATAGTTTAATATATTAAAGGTTTTAGTGACTATTACTTTTACTTAAGATATAAAAATAAGAAATAAATTTATTATAGACAAAACAAAATTTCTGGTTATTTTGATGCTTGAGTTCTACAAAATTAGCAGAAGTGAGCTAATAGATGAATATTTGCAGGTACTGGATGCATTATTATGTCTCCTACAAGAGAATTATCCATGCAAACTTTTGGAGTTTTAAAGGAATTAATGAAATATCATTATCACACATATGGTCTGCTGATGGGTGGTGCTAATAGACAGACTGAAGCTCAAAAACTTGAAAAGGGAATCAATATTATTGTGGCAACACCAGGACGCCTATTGGATCATTTGCAAAATACACCAGATTTCTTATATAAAAATCTTCAATGTTTGATCATTGACGAAGCGGACCGTATTTTGGATATTGGATACGAAGAAGAGCTGAAACAAATTATTAACATTCTTCCCAGTTAGTAATCAATACTGTTACATATTGAAATCAAATTTCATACATATGTATATATTTTATCCATTATGTCAAATATGTTCCAGAGCGTCGGCAAACCATGCTTTTCAGCGCAACACAGACGCAAAAGGTTGCGACGATAACAACGTTGGCTCTCAAAAAAGAACCTATATATGTGGGAGTCGACGACGACAAAGAAATGGCGACTGTTGAGGGTTTGCAACAAGGTTACGTGACATGTCCGAGCGAGAAGAGATTCTTACTTCTTTTCACATTCCTGAAGAAAAACAGAAAGAAGAAGATAATGGTCTTTTTCAGTTCTTGCATGTCTGTTAAATATCATCATGAACTTTTGAACTACATCGATTTACCAGTAATGAGTATACACGTATGTTATTAAATTTTTTCATATATTCGAGATTGCAGCATTTTCGTGGATTTTCGGATTTAGTAATTATGTTTTTATTCATAGGGTAAACAGAAGCAAACGAAAAGAACCACCACTTTTTACCAATTTTGCAACGCTTCATCCGGGATTCTACTTTGTACTGACGTAGCTGCAAGAGGTTTGGATATACCCGATGTTGACTGGATCGTGCAGTATGATCCACCGGATGATCCTAAGGTAAGAATCACGACATATTATTCCGTTAAAAAAAAACTAATAACAAATATGAGCTTTGCGATTGATGAATGTAGATTTGTAATATTTGTAATTATATGATTTTTAGGAGTACATCCATCGTGTAGGCCGAACTGCTCGCGGAGAAGGTAGTAGCGGTCATGCTTTGCTTATATTGCGACCTGAGGAACTTGGTTTTCTTCGTTATCTCAAACAAGCCCGTGTACCTGTGAATGAATATGAATTTTCTTGGAATAAAATCGCTGATATACAATTACAGGTATGTGTGTAATATTTTTGGGCTTTTTAGTTATTAATTAATTAATTTTTTTTCTGGATTATATATATAACTTTTGGAGACAATTCAAAACCTTATTTATAAACATGTGCGAAAATGCACGTGATTAGAATTATTTTAAAACGCCTTTCAAAATTGAAATCAAAATTAATCTGTGATTCTATCAATTTGAGTAAATATTAAATATTAGGAAGAGCAATTTGGAATTATTTTACTTTAAACAAGGGAACAGAATGGATTAATTATTTCTAATTTTTATTTCCTAATTTATGATACATTAATCCATTTCATTTTCTTGTTTTGAAATGAAATAATATCAATTTCCTAATTCTATTTAATATTTATTCTTATTCCTAATATTTTCTCCATTGTGCGTAGGGCCTAATATTTCTGCACATTTAAAAAGGGATACTGATATTATATTATGATTTTTTCTTTTTTAGCTTGAAAAGCTGATTTCAAAAAATTATTTTTTACATCAGTCGGCAAAAGAGGCGTTCAAGAATTACATTAGAGCATACGACTCGCATCACTTGAAAGAAGTTTTCAATGTAGAGACATTGGACGTGGCTAAAGTTGCCAAATCGTTTGGATTTACTGTACCGCCGGCAGTAGACTTAAGTAAGTTCTTTTAATAACAGATTCATTATTAGAAATTATTATATTATGTGATGGAAAGATAAAATTTGATATATTTATTTATAAATAGCATAAACTCTCAATACACAAACATCTTCATATCTTGGATTAAGCACTCGTTAGAAAATCTTTAATAACTTGCAAAAAGAAGATTTTACTTCTTTATATTTATCGCTTATTTTCGTTTGTATTTGAATTGATTAAAATTTGTTAGCTGTTTGTCGCAATTATAATTATTATTATAATTATTGTATTCTCCGTCAGTGCCAGTCTCCATACACGAGTTTAAATATTAAAATAGCATAAATGAGCACTGATTAGTTTAATGCTAAATATCTTTTCCTGTTTATAACTTCTTAACTGCGTATTACAGAAGTGGGAATTAACAAGGCTTCACGACCACGAAAAAGGCTTGGCGGAGGCGGTTACGGACAATTCAAAGATATGAACGCTCCGAGTTCGGCAAAACGGATTGAGCGTACCAAGACCTTTCGCCAGGTAGGTAAACGTGGGCAGGACAACCGGCAATTCACCAGATAACTGTCATCTACTCGCACCTTACACGCATAGGTATTCGGACATGATATGCACGGATACAATGTATTGTCAAGCGTCGATATATCTTCTATATTTTATTGTATAAATTATATAAATGTATAATTAGAAATTTGTTCACAATTTTTATTTTAAGTAGATGACATCATTCTTACTACTTAGCTATTTTCACTTTTTCATCATTCCGAATTATCCAGTCCAACTTCCTTAATCTAATTTCTTTTTCTGATTGATTTAAACAGAATCCGCATAACATGTGCATTGCGCTAAGTGCAAATTGCACATTTAATCACATTGATTAAGGTTTAATAGGAAGAATAGTAATATTTTCAGGAAGTACGAAGTTGACGAAATTACAAAATATACCGTCACGAACATCCATCATGTTGGATTGAACTATATAGATTGAAAGATTGTACGTAGATAATTTTTCTTTTTCATTCGGAGATTATAGAGATGATTGAAATGATAGGATATGGAAGAAGGATGTTGTCGGGAGGCGGAATAGAGAGAAAAAGCTGAAGACAAAATAATTTGTAATGCGCGACACCCACGCGGTTTCCACGGTGAAGCCATGTAGGGATGCATGACGTCAACTTTACTTTACATTTAGCAACGTGTGCGTGTGCGCGCGAGTATGTAGGCGCTGAATACGGCATAGAAGGTAAAATCTGTGGGAGAACATTAGAGAGGCGGAGTATGAGGTTCTAATGCATCGGTACGTAGAATACGGCCGATCGATTGATAATCACGTCTTAAATTCAATCTATGCATAGCTTGTTTGCTACATATTTGCCGATAACTTTTCAAAGTTACGAATAAAAATTAATCATGATCGAGCAGAATCTAAAAATAGAAACACCTTGTAATTGGAAAAACACGATTGCCTAACCCATTTTATTCATTTCTGAAACATTTTATTCATTCTGAATCTTATAATTGAATTGGATTTTTCTAGTAAGAATGTCTCTCATCTAATGTGTAATATATTATAATATATTACGTTAATTTTGTGATTTTTGAAATATGCACAATGCGATTTGTTTCTAGAAAAACAAACGTATTGCAATAATTTCGCGATAGAATAGGCTAAGAGACAAATTAAGAAACTAAAAGTTTATTTCAATATATTTACAACTTTAATGTTTTACATTCTTCAATTTTAGGCACTTGTTAAAAAGCCTTTTGACAGCTTAAAAGAGTAATCAATCAAGTTTCTTTATTACTAAAACTAGCTTGCTAACTTGCCAAGTCTTTTCTATAATCTTCGTTAAAATAAATTGAATAAAGTTTCAATCCATATCTTTGTAGTCGAGATGTACCGCTTTCTTTCCGCGCAATTAAGCACTTTACAACCTCAACTGTTTGCGCTCCCTTTGTAACGATTTTTAAGGACGAACTGCCGGAGAGCACGCACGGTTGACACCGTTGACTCCGTTGACACTGTTGACATCATTAACTGAGTGAGTAATGGCATTCTTCCATTGGCAATCTAGCTGGGAACAATTGCAATAGGTTTTCATATAAAATCAATTGTTCATCGACGAACAATACGAATTTTATGTACCTCAAATACTTTTTAAAGTAAATAAATATTTAAACGAGAAAACGATATTTGCAATATGAAAAGTAGTGATATTGAATGTAATATCGGATCATTAATTTGAACGAAATTGATTTATCACTTTGTTTTTGATCTTTTGACATTTCTTCAGAAATTTTAAATCAGAAAGAAAATTTTGATTTCTCAATTCGCCGAAATGATTTTTGGTTAGCTAGATTGCCCAAAAATATTACTGCTTACCGATAAGGGAATTCAGTGGGCGGCATCACATGGTTTTGCAATGCGATTAAAAGATGTCGTGATTAGTTTGGAATTAATTTTCTGTCAAGTGTTGCCAAATTCATAGCATATATATCATTAAATTATATATCATTAAATGAGTTGGCAATACACTTGCAGATATTACCTTGTACGTTTACATGTTGTGCATAACGATCGACGCATATCGAAAGTGGGCAGGTAAAGTTATTAATTATGCATTCAAAGGCACACCACTGCGTGATTGTAACTGTTGCGCGCCGTTGACGTAATATACCTATCTTATTGGGAGAGGCTGGTTGTGTACTCAGGATATATGTTCTAAACGGTCCATTTTTCCTCTACTTCCACGAACACGCAACGCTTTCAACAGCGACATGTTTTTTTTGTCAAAGCGCCATAATTTTACAAATTAGCACGAAGGCGCGTATCATTTAATAATCCGCATTATTCGTATTCTCAAAATTATACAAATTCATTCGTTTTGATACGCGCGCAAGCAAGTAGTTCCCACACAGTTTGTCCGCCTACGCATGTCACGGCGTAAGAATATTCAGAATCAAGATTAAAAATTGTAATTGGAAACCCGTGGAAGATTTAGGAGTAATATTTTCTTGCATATGTCGTAACACGTCAACCAAAGCCAAGGAATGTGCGATTTTAAATGCAAATGCAACTGCATGTCTTATGTAATTATCAGTAAAGCGATTTATTTATCCATGTTGAAAAAAAATGTATTAATATGTTCTACAGACAGAATTTCAAGAGAACCGGTAGTGTGTTGGCTCGTGTGGACACAGGCCTGAATTATCCGACTTTGCGATGCGATGGTATGGCGCGTATATTTTCTCTCTCTCTCTCTCTCTCTCCCACCCTCCCTCTCTCTCTCTCTCTCTCTCTCACTCTCTCTCTCTCTCTCAGCTAGCACGTATGCAGAGGCCGTATATGGTAGTGGGTGGTAGCATGCGACGACAGTAAAACGCGGGGCAGAGGGAAATTCAGCTTGCGGAGCACGCATGCGTTCAAGTTTGTGGTCGCAGTTTGCGTTCGGCTCGGTCTGGCGCTCATGTACGGACGGTGCAATCAGTAGAACCGAGAATTTCGAAGCGTGTGTACTTACTCTCGAATTCCCGCAATCCGCATTCCGATTTTAACCTCACGGAGCACAAGTGAGCGAGAGAGAGAGACATACATATTTATACGCGATAAATCTTTCTTCTCCCCTCTCTCTCTCTCTCTCTCTCTCTCCTGCTGTTTCGCCCGTCCTCTCTTCAAATCTTCGTCGATTATTCGACTTTTCTTCTACGTTCCATATCTCTCTCGCTCTTTCCCTTCTTCAAACTTTCCTTTCTTATCATCCTACGCTCTTTCTTGCCTCCCTCACTCCCACCCATCGCTCTGCGTTGTTTTTCGCGATTTATTGTGCTCGCGCGCGCCCTCCGCCAGTGAAATCGTTCCTAAAAACGTAGTTAACTGTGACGGAGTATTCACGAGAGGTACAGGTTCTTTCGGGTGGAAAAACAAATAGTCAAGACGCCAAGTGGATAGTAATCAGCCAACGGGAAAAAAAAACGAAGAGAAAGATCGTCGCGACGAGAGTCAAGATCATCTCCCTAGCATAGAAGCAAAGTAAGAAATATTGAAGAAATTACGTTTAACGCGAAGTGAAAAAGCGATCAAGCTGCCGGTCGGCATCGTTAGAAAAGAACGAATTTGTGCAGCCAGAGCAAGACAACTTTACAACTCTCTCGAAGAAGTGTCGCTCGCCCTCGCACGTTTGCTCTCCGTCTCTCTTCTCCTTCCCCCTCCTTGCGCTCGTGCCAGTCGCGCCCCACTTACGACTTCCCCCGCTCGCATGTTAGAGTCTTTTCTCTCTTCTTCTCTTCCTTTTCCTCTCCCACTCAGCTCCCATATCATCTCCCCTTCGCCGCGTTCCAGCTTTTTTCTCTTAACCCTTCTTCGTTAGTACGACTCCGCCGTCTGCGCCTGTGTCCATTCGCGATCGGAGAGAGAACAACTCCGTCGTTCCGTCCGTTCGTCACCACACCGCGCGCTTCGCTCGTGGCCAACTCTTTCTCATTGTGTATTAAGTGTGTCCGCGCGCGCCCAACACGCGCCAACATTCGCCATTGAAGCACAAGTACAATTTGCGATGTGTGATAATACTAACACGACGACGCAGAGTATAGCGGACTACCTGTCACAGTTGTTGAAGGACCGGAAGCAGCTAGCTGCCTTTCCGAATGTCTTCATACATGTGGAGCGTCTGCTGGATGAGGGTGAGTGATTGACAACTTTTTTTCTCTTCTTTATCAAAAGACCTCCGGTCTTTTCCAATATTGTATTACGTTTATTCGCGATTTGCCCGTACGACATACAAGCGTGTGAAAGATGAAAAGTAAAAAAAGCTGTAGAGTATACACGATTGATCGATATGTTATAAAATACAAGAAATTTTGACGCACACCATTTTGCGCACAATGTGTTCCGGAATAAATTTTTCGTAATGACGTAACGCGAGTATCGCGTGTTTTTCATCAATCCGTCGCTCGACTCGTTTCCTTTGCGCTTGTTTACCCATCTGGATTAGCGATTTTGCTAAGTACACGTCATTTTACGTTGGAATTCGTCAGTGCTCGAAATATACGGCCGATCGCAAAATCCGGTTCGCAAATCGCGAACACTATCAGCGAATTCTTGCGGCGCTGCGCTATGAATAAAGCGTATACAAGGTGTCCTGTTAAAACTGATTTTAAGAGGGAGCTTGAGTTTTCAAAATATTTAACGTAAAATTATATTTTGTATAATTTCAAATTTTTCGCAAATTCTTTCTTTAATTATTAGACATTTATATTTCGTATCACATTTCACGAATGCGTCACAGCTCGCTGATGTTTCTCAATGATAAAAATACAAATATCTTTTGAGGCAATATCGCGCATATCGCTTAAAATCGACTTGATTCGGGTTTCACCATGCTATTATACAAAAGCAACATGCCTTTCCCCTTTTTCGCGCTCGCGTTTTGCACCACTCGAGCGCGTGATAGGTAAATAGAACCCTATTTGAAGGAATCCCCTCTCTCGTGAAGACGTATAGAACACTATGTACAGGTGTCGCATATCTTCTTGCGATCTTCTGCATGTACGGTTGCCTTATCCATTGCTATTGCTATCGCAACTCGACGCGTGTATGTCACGTGGCCGGCGCGGCGGTATGCTTGCTCGAGAAAAAAAATATGTATAACACGAAATAAAAACATTGCAATCGAGTATATGCGAGCAATTCGCATGCAGACGTATCTATAACTAAAAATATTGAAAGTATTAAATAAATAAAATTGAAGAATCATTAGTTGATATGATTAAATTCGCGAAAAATTATTTTTACTTTCAGTATACTACTATGTAGCATTTTTTGAGATTATCATTAGTACTTCAATAGTTTTTCTGTGTGTATTACAGTGTGGGAAAAATACACGGTTATTGCGGTAGATTTGCATTTATGATGGTTGCTTCTGACGGTAGTATGAACATAACGCAAGTGCTGGAAAATTTCTCCGGACATTATATTCGTACTAATGTTGGGCGCAAGTGGCATGGGATAATAAATACTCAAGTAACCATGAGAAATGTTCGACATTATCTATTACATACTTTTATTTTCTCAACAAATTGTATACCTATCTATTTTGAGATGTAGTAATTTCTTGTTTTGTTTGATTGTACGATATATTTTGCCATTTTGTTGAAATCTTGAAAATTTAACGTGATCAATCGCGCTTTACGCCACGCCTATACTATGAATTATTTTTAGTTTAGAATTTATTTCAGAGCTGAAAAAACATGAGCGAAAAAAGTGCTGAGTATCCGTAAATATTTGTGATTTATACTGAAATATATCGCGTAGCGACATTATCTGTTGATGATTTTGTTTTTGTTGTCAGTCGTTCTACACAGCGTGCACGCGCGTGTGAATGGTGTGGACCAGTCACATCGGTCGAAATCAGCGAGATTAGAGCAGCAACCGCGCTGTTGTCTGCAAATCTAAGTACGCAGAAAAGACGCTGACCTCGCTGTAGCGTTGTTGAACCACTCCGCGAACACTCTCGATATGTGTGTCTCTCTCTCTTTCCCTTCGCTTCCCGCCTTCAACTCGATATACCGCTCACCAGATCTCCGACCCGTTTTCGAAGAATAGGCCCGCACTCTCGATTCGTAGAGAGACGTTTAGATAGTCATGTCCGACTTGTTCTTCCTTTTTCTTTTTTTTTACCACGTACGCACATAGCGTTTGTAATGAGGTATATGCACTTTTACGACAAACTAGCGATTATGTCATTCAGTAAAACTGACCTTTATCGTACGGAATCTCGTGGCCGCTTTGATGTCTATAATCCGTTGCAGTTGTCCCTTTATGTAATATAAGAGGATGGTATAACAGTCATTATTGTACGTGGAAGAGTTCTTATAATTAGTTGGAAAAACACAAGATAGAAACGTTTCTCATAAATCTGCGCAATAATTTTTTTATGATTCAATTAATTCAGAGTCTCCGATTAAAGAAATTCGCAAACAATTTTACCGGGTTAATTTATCGCTTGTAACATAATTTCAGAGAGTATTTTTATTTTGTGTTTCGCACTCTTCCTTTAAGCGAGTCCCCAATTCCCCGATCAATGATAATTTATCAGATGTAGCGCGAGTTTATATCGGAAAGGAACATTATCAGGCAAGGACGCATTCGACTTTGGAAAGTTGAGAGAAAGCTGGATCCGCTCATTTTGTTTTACGCGTTGGAAAGCAATATTATGTTCATTGCATACTTACAGAAGGTGCTCGAGAGTTTTCGTTCATACTGAATGCTGTAAATCTGCATCGCGTAATATTAATCTCTTACAAAAAGAAAAGAAAACTATGCTTGCCACATTAGTAATTGTCTCAAATGAGACCGAATGTTTTGCGAAAGAAAACAAATATTTTATTGTAAAGATTTATCGGCACATTTCGTCTCACAATTCACAATACTTTTCCCTTATAGTTTTTATGGCTTTTAGAAAATTTTTACATAACTTTTTGAAAAAATGCTCGATTATAACCGAATTCAATTCTATACGTTTTGGATTATCGTTACTCTTGCAGTAGCGCTGAATCTTTCAGCGCTATTAAAGATATTTATTCGAAAGCAAGTCATAGCTCTCAGGTCAATAGCGTGGTTGTGGAAAAAGATTACGAATGATTTTCTTGATTTTTCAGACTATATGAGCAGTTATATTATTTTGAAGGAAACACAAACGGTTGTCTGGCTCTTCTTTTTGAGCGAATCTATTGCTCTGTTTTGTTCGACAAGAGGATTACGTAATAATCAGTGTGAAATTATCGTGTATAATGTCTTTGCACTCTTAAACGAAATATCATCTTCGTATATTTTTAGCTTATTTTCGCTCTTTCTCAAATTTCCTTAAAGATCTTGTTCAAATTGCTATTAGCTATATCTTATCTTTGTTTATAAGAAAGTTGATAATAGGCAATGTTAAGCGCTACTTGCTGATAATTTATCTTGTAATTAGTTGATAATTAATTTTGCTTTGCTCATTCAATTTCATAAGATCAGGTATAAGAATAAGAACAATCTTTTCTTAAAGTATTAATTGAATGGAAAGTTTAAGAAAAACTCGTTAATGAATGATCTAAGAAAGTATACAAATTCTCTATTTTATATCTTATAGATTCCTATCATTTCTGGAAATTGTAAAAATTTCATATCGATCTCTCGGCATTACGCAAATTCTAGAAATAATCTGAAGAAAACATTGCTGTTGTAAAACATTGTTTAATTAATGAGGCATGTGAAGTAATTGCCTGATGAATTATTGATTATCATCATTTATATGATTGTTACTACGCGCATTCTGACCTCTCGACACGATGTTCTCTCTTCGGGAAAGTTGAGAGGCACTGTTACGGAAAGCTTACCGAGCTTGCCTATGAGTTTTTATATTTGTACGAGCGGAGCATGTGGAAAGACGCACGGAAGCTCTCGCCTCTGCCGTGCATAAGTGATCCTTCATAGTGATGCATTTGAGAGGGCGGCCAGTGCGTTCAAGCGCGCTCTATTTCCACCAGCCGAGTGTGTAACGAAATTTTCTCGGTGACCTAGTGGCGCGAATAGAACTCGTCGCCAAGTGCGTGCGTCCTTTCGAAATTGTCTGGTCCAAAAACTTGGATACCGCTCGTCGTTGAGTAGAGGAGCGTGCTCGATTTCGCCAGTGGGTCGACATGACTAATCGCGCAACCTTCGGCGAAGAGACACTTGGGCGCGATGCATCTCATTTAAAGGGACTTGGGAGCTTTAAGAGATTACTAATAGAGTGATTTTTTCCCGCATATAAAATCCGACAATTTTACATTGAAATGGTTCCAAAAAGATATTATTTGCGAAAAGTGAACACGAAAGTTGTTTCGTGTTCACTTGTCACGTCAAAGTCTTCTCGAGATAATAAAGTGATAATTATTGAATCGGTTTCAACGTTTCTTACATATCTTATTTATTAATTCGTATTTAAACGTTTACAATTTAATTTGCATCGAGAATAGAACGCAAAGGAAATCATTTCAAGCTCGGTGGCTCGGCACTAGCGTTGAAAGAGTGGAGAGAACGTGCTTCTTGCTTCGTGCACTTGTAAATACACGCAATCGCGCGACATTGCTAACGTTTCTAGCCACTAATTGCCTTCCGTCGTGGTGCACGCATACGAACCGGAGCAAAACTCCTTACGGGAAAAGGCAACGAAACGCGAGCGGGATCGCGCGTTGTTAATGACGGACATTATCGAAGCGACAATAAAGATCAGCTCAGTCAGCCGTGTTGTCAAAGGTACCGCGGAAATTATGATTCGAAGAATGAACTTGTAACAATATTCTAGCCCGGGATCGATTCGTCACTGTAGACCAAGCCTTTATCTTTTTTATTCTGTAATGTAATGGAAAAATTTTGAAAATTTGCAGCGTTGTTGCGAGATTTTTGTTTAAAAAGACTGTCGAGTTTAATTTGTGAGAAGTTTCTTAGGATTTGCATACACGTTTGTGTGTATGTGAAAAAACGTCCATGTTGCCCTAGAAAATCAGCTGAAGAATTTTGTTTGTGCGTATTCGAACGTCTACGACCGATCGTGTTCGGAGCCATCGCTAACCGGACTCGGTCTTCGACCCCCTTCTCTCTTCCATTACCCACTCTCCCTCTGCTCCTCTCGTCCTTGCTCGCCCCTCCCGTATCCTCA